GTAAAAGCCCCCTTCTGAAGGTATGGTCTTCTCCATCTGCGCTAGGAGTGGTTGCGCTCGCGTCATAGCTGAGGAGTTGTGCGCTCGTTCTCAGGTCGCGTATATCCGTTGATCGTACCCGATTCCGACACATATCACGCACTCTCCCAGTGACTGCCGTCAAGGTCCGTCAGGCTACCGACCAAGACCCTGTGCTTCAGCAACTCATAAAGTACCACCACAATCAGTGGCCGCGTACCTACCGAAAAGACGAACTGGGGCCTCACTTCAACCGGCTTGACGCACTATCGCTAGCCGATGGGTGCCTGTTGTTTTCAGAATGTGTGGTCATCCCAAAGAAGTTACAACCAGCCGTTCTGAATCAGTTCCACAAAGGTCACCCGGGAACAAATAGGATGAGGGCCCTTGCTCGGAATTATGTCTACTTGCCTTTGATGGACTCCCAAGTCGAGCAACTCTCAAGATCTTGCCTGCGGTGCGCTGAAGCATCCAAGTCACCGGTGAAAACCTACCTACGCTCGTGGCCGCAACCGACCGAACCCTGCCCTAGTCTTCACATCGATTATGCAGGCCCACTGGGTGGCCAACACTTTTTGGTCGTGGTCGACGCTTACAGCAAATGGCCGGAAATTTTTCCGGCGAACAGTCCCACAACTGCCATCATAGTCCTGGAACCCCGACGATTGTTCAGTCGCTTTGGAACGCCAGAGACTATTGTATCCGACAACGGCAGTAAGTTTACGTAGTCGGCGTTCGCACACGTTTGTCGGGTGTATGGCATAACGCATATATGCTCGCCGCCGTTTCATCCACAGTCGAACGGCCAAGCGGAACGCTTTGTTGACACTCTCAAGCGGGCGCTTCAGAAGTCCAGGGGGGAGGGACCAACGGAAGAGAGTTTACAAAGTTTCCGGCACGAAGAGAGTGGACCTTACCGCGGTGTGGCGCTTCGTGTACCTCGGAGACACATTGAGATATACTAGGGGGTGTACGCGCTACACTCGCAGAGTCTCTCATACCAGGTTGGTCAATGGTTAGAGGTCTGACGAACACAGTCTCCTGGTCCTCCAGGTTGGGGGTTGAAACATGTATGGCGACTTGTTCCGTAGAAAAGTTAATGCATTTGCATTTCCCCGCCAAACACCGCTGCCTTGCGGTTAGGCTTTTGAGCCAAAGGCTTTGGTTGAGGGCCCTAACCGTCCTCCCGTCTAGGTGTGGGCGCCCTGGCAGTATCCCAGCCCTCGTACAACCATGACCTACACAACTAACAATATTCTCATGCCACATCGGCCGTCGCGTGGTGCCGTCAGCCGGGTCGACTTACTTGCTGCATACAGCAGGGCGGGTAAGCGAAAACATGCTACTGCTGAAGCCTCACTTTTTACACTTTCACGTTTTCCGTCTTCCACCCTCCCCCGCCCAAATTTGAATACTTTATCCGCGGGTCCCAGCTCTAGGACTGACGTTTTGCTCGCCCTGTTTCACACTCAGCTGCAGCTTCTGCACGCCCGAGTTCAGTTACAATTCTAAACGCTTCGAAGTCTGTTTTCAAACCTCGAAAGCCTGTCTACTTAGCCACTTTCAATGTTCGCACACTGAAGCAAGCAGGTCAACAGGTGGCTCTTGCGCGTACGCTGGATCCCCTGTGTATTGATGTATGTCGTCTGTCAGAAACAAGGACACAGGTCGCAAGTACTGTAATCGAACTGACTGCCCGCTCGCTGTCTTCCAGGTTCCGACTGCGCACCTCTGGTGATGCAGAGGCCGCTGCAGCTGGATATGCTGGGCTGGTTATTGTATTGAGCGAACGAGCGGAAGCGTTCTGCTTGATTGGATACCCGCTGACAGTCGCCTCTGTGTGGTTCGTTTGGCAACATCGGTGAGGGAATCTAGAGGAAGTGAGGTTCATCGCAGCTTGTTTATTGTTTCTGCTTACGCCCCAACTGACTGTAGCTCTGAATCTGCCAAGGACAGTTTCTATGACGCTCTAGGTGCCCTTCTACAACAGGCTAAAAGCTCAGATATCGTTGTGGTTGCTGGTGATATGAACGCCCAGGTAGGTAGACTAAGCGCTGCTGAGGCC